TTTTTTAACTTGCGATCCTCTTTCTCTCTCTCTCTCTCCTTCTCCCTCTCTCTCTCTTCCTTACGTAACAATTATTACGCGCCGTTCGATCGGTCGGCGAGCCGCGAAACGAGCGCGCACTCGTGGTTGGCCGAGAGTAACGAAACTAGTTTCTTCTCGACCGACCGATCGAGTTCCCTCAATGAAAATTCTCCCCCCCCCCGATTCGAGCATAGGGAATGACTGGCACTGGATCGAGGTCGGTTAGCTCGAGCCATTACCACGGTCACATTTTATGGGCTTTCTCGAGCACGTTTATTTATCGCCTAATCCAAAGAGTTAACCCCGTCTGCCAAAATACCAAATCGTTTATTTCCGAATCTTCATTACTCCAAGGTATTGGCGACCCCCTAATCGATCTTCCTTACTTTGAACCCTTGCTAAGAATTTCGCGATCTTTTAGATAAAATAATCGTTGCGAATAATAAAAATAAAATATATATCGCAACGAGTCGAGCGAAAGCTTCGTACGATGTCGAGGAATTAAAGATTGCTGGATCGTTCCGCAACGAGTAAGGTAGAAATACATCGTTCGATATTTCGTTTTCGATATAGGTTATCGCGGAGGTTAAGAGCGCTTAAACGGCCCATCGAGAGTCGTAAGCGAGGCGTAATCGGTGAACAGGGCCACGAATAATAAATTTTCATTGAGCGGGACAAGCGACAACTCGTCACGGATTTATCTTATATCGCCACGAATAACGCGGTGATATAAAAAGGAAAGAAATTAGGATGAAAGACGCGAAAAGGCAATTTCCAATAAATAAACTTGCATGGGACAGATCGTATATGGGACACGATGTTAAACTCGACGAAAGTGAAAAAGAGAAAAAGAGAGAGAGAGGAAGCGTGAAAACGGCGAGAGAGACGTCTGACGATATTCGCGCTTAGCTTGCGCATCGTGTAAACCGAGCCGAGCACTAACTAACTTTAACCAGTCGCAACGGCTCGGTAATTGTCGCAAATTGACCAGCGGGACCCCAAACGTGGAACGGCAGGAGCTTGGTTGCAGCCGCCTCGTGGTTGCGTACGTAAATCACGAGCGAGAATCTCGATCGATCGGTCTTGGAAGCTTGGGAAGTTTGGGTAAAAGGAAGAGGAGAATTTTCGTAAAATTTTCCTTTTCCAATTCTATGCAAGTTCTCTATGGAATAATCTCCTCGATTAGATTCGGTTCGAATTGTTCGATCGGCGGGGAACATCCTCCTCCTCCTCCTCCTCCTCCTCCCCCTCCCTCCTCCACCTCGAGCGGGCGCGAGTTCGCGAATCGACTTGCATAACGGCAACGTAGTAGCACGATAAAAAACGCGGCTTCGAGCGGGACTTATTTTTAGTTGGGCCACCGGTCGTTCGTCTTCGACCGTTTCTTCGAGTGTTGTTGGCGAGCGAGATGAATTCTGCCGAGCCGCTCAAGTAGGAAAATAAACGGCGCGACCTCGTACGCTTCGCGACAACGTGTTGTCGACCCGCGAGATTAGCGATACCTCCGGGGAGGGAGGGAGGGAGGGAGAAAAGGAGAGAGAGAGGGAGAGGGGAGGGGGGGAGTTGGTTCTCTTTCTCGACGATCCAAAATCGTCGACCATTCGTTCGATCGATTTCGATCGAGATAATTGTGTGAAGTGAAAGCGATGTTTTCTCGATCAGCGGGATTAATATCGTTTCGCGGGATCTAGATAAAGAACGATAAGGAAAAAAGGGAATCACCTTTGAGACGACGAAACGTATCGTCGGGAAGGAAAGAGAGGGAGAGAGAGAGAAAGAGAGAGAGAGAGATTAGGTTGGGTTAGGTGCGAGTTAAATATGCGGCCGGTATTGTTAAAAATAGAGTGACGGCCGACCGCCGGGTTACTTGTGCAATCGAGCACGTGGGATCAATCCCCTCTTTCCACCGATCTGCCCATCTGGTAACCCCCCCCCTGCTTCTTGTTTTCCCCTTCTTCCGCCTCTTCTTCCGTCCTCCTCCCTCAAAATTTCCCGCCCACGTCTCGCGATCATCGCGATCTCCTCCCCTGCTCCACCTTTTTCCTTTTTCTTTTCGATTATCCACGGCGACGATGGGCGAGAGGGAGAGCCTCGAAAGAGCACGGGCGAGAGAAGAGAGGAGGGAGGAGAGCGGAGAAACCGGAGAGCGAGTTTGCCAACGATTTTGGCACGAATCACAGTCGACACGCGTTCTTCTTGGGCGGCCTTTGCCTCGTTCGTCGGGGGCCCTCCTCCTTGCCCTGAGAAAAAGGGAGGCCGCCATCGTACGTCTTCTCGTCTTCTCGCCGCTTGGCACCGTTTCGTCGAAACACGATCGCCGAACGAAAAACCTCGCGAACTTTCCTCCTCTCGAATCGATCCTTCCTAGCTCCCGAACGGGCGGGACGAGGGGCTGCCCTTGAAACGGAAACAAACAACAACGCGACAACTTCCTGTACCCCGCGCGAGAATGACGTTTCTCGAGCACACGAGAGTTGCCGAGAGAGAGAGAGACTTTTTTTGGCCGAGATACAAGAAACCGAGCCTCTCTTCCTGACGTCCACGGTCGAAAATCGGTAGGGCGATTTTTAAAGAAGGAAACGCGAACTTGTTTACGTAGCGGAGTGGGGAGAAGGGAGGGAGAAAGGGGAGGGGAGGGGACGTTACGAAGTGGAAAAGAAACTAGTGGTGTGGTAGTGTCCGGTTTCGCGAGCATGGGAAGAAAATTACACGTCCCCCCTCCCCCCGTGTGTATGTGTGTTTGTCAGTGGTTTTGCCGTTCGAATAACCGAGTGCGTCGAAGNTATGTAACGATACAAGCCACGCTGCTGCTTGTTGCCTACCAGAGCTTACCCTCCCTGTTGAAAATTGATCGATCGTACGATCCGTGGACTCGCGTCATTCTCTCTCTCGCGTTTCGTCTCGTCTCCGCGTCCCGACTCCGCGTCTATTCACGCAAACGTCTGTCCACCAACAATCGAGAGAAAAGACTATAATAAGCGTATATTATATAGTTTTTAACCTTAACCGTTTCGCCGATGAATAAATATCCAGCCGATCTAGTTTAACGTTTGACGTTTCCTAAATATCCCATCGTCCCAACAACACCTTTTGTTCAGGAAAGACAGGTTCGACCGATATCTATATATACATATATATATATGTATAAATATTCGCTCGATATATCAGTCCCTTGCTCGAATCCAGTGGTCCTCGACCGTCAAACGATCATCGTTCCGTTCGCGAAACGCGTGTGGAGACGAGTGGAACGAGGAAAAAAAAGAGAGGGGGGAGAGGCACGCGATCTCTGAACGCTCTCGTCTTCCGGCAAACGGTAGGAATGGCGCACGATTGGCACTGGCACTGACACTAGCGGGAGAAACGTTGCACTCGCACTGGCTTCGTTCGCTCGCTCGCTCGCTCGCTCGCTCGAGGATCGCGCGCTCTGCGCTTGCCGCGGCGCCCGTGTGCGTCGCCGCGACCAGCCCCACTCTCTCTCCATTCACCCATATTCGATCCGCGATTTCGCCGCCGTGCTCGTCTTTCGATCGTTCCCTCGCCTCTTGTTCCGTCGCTCTCTCTCTCCCGCCCTCCCTCGCGCTCGCTCGCTCGCTCGCTCGCTCTCTCTGTTGCGTGACACAATCGTACGACGATGCTCGCGATATCTGACCGATAACTGGCAGACGACGAGCGATCACGCCGATCGGTTTTTATGAACTATTGAACAACGACGAATACGAATATGAATAATAATAATAATAATAATACGAGGACCGCTTATTTTGCATACAGTTTTTCTTTTTTTTAACAACCTGTGTAAATTACCTGTCCAACATGAGTAATACATAAGCTATCTTCTGTGTTTTCGATAAACGGTGATTACAAATGTGTAACCGAATGAAAAATATGTATGTATATGTAGCTATGTATCGAAGGGAACCGGAAATATTGAAATATTTAAAAATTTTTTTTTCGAGAGGATTATTAAGAAACGTGCAGATATGTAAATGTGGATGTAAAGTAGCCCTTTTCGATACACTCAACGCCGAATCTATATCCGTAGATCAATCACGAGAGACAATTTGTAGACAACTTTAACGTTATTCTCTCGTTTTCACTCTCATTACGCTCACTAATAAATACGTACCGAAATACGTATACGGAATTCGGATTATAATTGCACATAGATTTGAATTGCATTTGAATAATTATCACGCATGTTTCTTGTTAGATGTACAAAAAAAGAAGGTCGCTACGACATTTAAATCGTGAAAAAGGAAAAGATTGTAATGAGAAAACGAACGCAACGGACTTATTGACGCGCGAATAATAATGAAATTCGCGTCACGATGTTACCGATTGCTTAACTATTTCATCGTGCAATTTTATTCAAACGAGCCGATTACGTGACTTTTCCGTGTGAATCTCCGTTTCTTTCCACTAATCGAGTAAACCGATTCAATTTCAACGGAAGAAAGCGTAAAAGATTCGAATCCGACATCACGTGCCTCTTTCGAAAATGTTCATATCAATTCCTGATCTCGATCGCGAATATATATATATATATATATATATATTCTTTTCGAAAAATTTCTAATTCAATCTCGACTTTTTGATTCTTACCTAAATTCTTAGTCAACCCATATACATGATATATATACATATATCTATACACACTTTTGCGCTTTCGTTCGATTATCAAAATCGAATATGTTAGATACGCGATGGGATCGAAAGGACGGCGCGAAACACGGTGGTAAACACGGTTGGTAGGGAGACGAGCGGCCGAGAACGACTGTCGCAAAAAAAGAGTGTTTTTTGCCGCAGCAGCGTGGCTGGGCATCGCGGCGAGGCGCGACGTGTGACACGCGGTGTAATACCGCGCGCGACAGATTATCTACCCAAGCGAAGATAAACCTTACCTCGTTACGAAATATACGATGTAGGATCGCGACGGTGAGAGAGAAAGAGGAAGGAAACGCCGCGTTTCGATAAACTGTGACTCGCCTCGCCTCCCCATTGGTCCGGATTTCTTCTTACTCAATCGTGCAATCGAGGAGGCGAGGAGGAAAACGGTAAAAAAAAAAAATTAAACTGGAGGAAAATGCGTGAACGAGAAGAAAAAACAAAATGGATCGGCCACGAAGGAAGAAGGGAGGAACTGTGACAAACACGTGGGTGGCGAGTGGAGTAACCTAGACAAACAAATAAGAGGGAGAAGGAGGAGGGAAGGGAACAAGATGTTTTTCGGTGGAAACGAAAATACTCTAGTCCTCCTCTTGCTACGTTTTCGCGGCAAGAAGCTTTTGCGTAGGTTCGATGTTTCTCGTGACGAGAGTGTCACTTCTCCAACTTCCTCGACCCCGTTTTTTTTTTTTTT